TCCTTCTCCCCCTCCCCTGCCCCCTGCACCATCTCCGCAGTGTGGGGGAGCAAGTGGGGGGGGGAGGGAGGAGAGGCGGCAGAGCTGCAGCATCCAGGAATTAGTACAAGGTGTTTAGTCCCAGCTTGTGCCACCCCTGGGAGCTAACCCCAATGCAGCTCTGCATTTTAAATGTACTAAGAGCCCTCAGGTACTAGCATGGCAGGCCGTACTACATAAAAAGCAGAGCTGCAGCAAACCCCCTTATCAAATAATCGAGTAGTTGATGGAAATTCTATCAACTACTCGATTTGTTGATGAACTCCAATTTAATATCCCTCCTCTCTATCTCTGGCAGTTACCTAATGCTGTGTGATTAAATCCTTCTCTCTTGCTCTTGGCCTAAGAGCAATTGGCAGTGCCTCTAAGCTTGCCTTTATCTTAAATAGATTTAGCTTTAGTAGTTTTAGAGCCCAGTCAGTCTATTCTCACCTTTTGTAATTCTTGGTAGATTGGTTATTACATAATCTAGATCTCTACCCTTGTGGTGGTGATGAAACACTATTGTTAGGGGCATGCCTGGGTTATCATAGAACACTGGAAGGCACCTCGAGAGGTCATAGAGTCCAGTTCCCTGCTCTCATGGCAGGACCCTGTACTGTCTAGACTATCCCTAATAGATGTATATCCAGCCTCTTAAATATCTCCAGAGATGGGAGGTTGTGGAATCTTCTAGGCAACTTATTCCAGTGTTTAACCACCCTGACAGGAAGTTTTTCCTAATGTCCAACCTAAACCTTTCTTGCTGCAGTTTAAGCCCATTGCTTATTGTCCTATCCTCAGAGGCTAAGGAGAACAGTGTTTCTCCCTCCTCTTTGATAACAGTTTTCAGGTATCTAAAAGGATATGTCCCCCTCTGTCTTCTTTCCAAACTAAACAATCCCAATTCTTTGTCTTCCTTCATAGGTCATATTTTCTAGCCCTTTAAACATTCTTGTTGCTCTTCTCTGGACCTTCTCTAATTTTTCCACGTCTTTCTTGAAATGGGGTGCCCAGAACTGGACACTACTCCAATTGAGGCCTAATCAGCGCAGAGTAGAGTGGGAAAATGACTTCTTGTGTCTTGCTCACAACACACCTGTTAAGGCAGTGGTCTCCAACCTTTTTACACCCAAGATCACTTTTTAAATGACAGACCAAGCCAAGATCTACTGCCCAGCCCCTTCCTTAAAGCTCAGCGTGGGTGAACCACGCTCCACCTGGGCAGGCGCAGAGGAGAAGCTGCCTAGCCAGCTGGCTGTGGCCTTCAGCCCAGAGGAGGCTGAACCGTGCTCCAGCTGATCGGGCTGCTTCCCCTCTGCACCTGCCCACGTGGAGCTTGGTGCACCCTGGCTGAGCGCCATGGCCAGCTGGCCAGGAAGCCGCTTCTCTTCGCTCCCGCCCAGCTGCCCTGCGCTTAGCCTGGGAAGCTTGCTCCAGCACAGCTGGAGCCTGACGCAGCCTCCCTGGGCTGAGCGCAGGGCAGCCGGGCTGGAGGGAAGAGAAGAGCTGCCTGGCCAGCTGGCCGTGGCATGTGGGCAGGTGCAGAGGAGAAGCCACCGATCAGTTGGAGCGCAGGGCAGCCTCTTTCAGTTGAAAGCCAGAGTCAGCTGGCTGGGGTGTTTCAGTCCTCCTGATCTCCCAGCTCCTACCATTCCCCGCAGCTACTCACCTGTGTTGCTCGGTGAGTAGTTGCTCCTGAAATGAGGAACTCTAATGTAAATGTACTGTGCAGGTGTGCAGTTCAGAGAGGGCTCAAAAGTTACTCTTAGAGCCCCTGAGATCTACCAGTAGATCGCAATCTACTGGTTGGTGACCACGATGTTAAGACCAGGTTTTAAATGCAATCTAATTTGTAACACACAGAAATCAGAGGAATGTATTATTTGCTGTCTCTCAGCAAGACACATGTTCTGCAGAAGTGTTCCCATTGCCATAATCTTAAGACCCTATATGAACTAGGGTTCTTAGTCTGAGTAACCATTTAACTGATAAGTGGATGTTTGTAGGTTACACTCAGCCTCCCAGGAGATTGCTTTGCTGCAACAGGGCGGTGAAGTGTCCTCCCTGGGAGCCAGGAGAGAACTGGGATGAAGGGGGTAGTTTGGTCACAAAGAGCTATGTAACTTCTTGAGGTACGACCCAGTTTCACCTTACATGCACTGTCCCTAATGGGCAAACTGCTACTGAAATTCTCCAGTCACAGGTGCAGGGATGCAGATTGAGCCACTGGGACACTACTTGCATTAGTAGAGTTGCCAGCTGGGGGAGAGAGATTACATAGGTTGTATTTCAAATAATTTTCTGCCAGCAAACACTGAACTTGTCTAAAAACATATAGGTAATTTTTGTTTTGTTTCTTTGTTTGGAAAAGGGAAATAAAGTACTACCACAAAGTGAAGGATTATATTTCTCTTAGTTTTGCATGTTACATTCTTTAGAAATTGGGAATTACACATGTGCTTTAAGGAGATCTTAGTTCCATTTTTATTTCTCACTTGAGATTTTAATATATTAAGCTAATACAACCTTCTTAACGTAGACCATTTTCTAGGTTAGAGGTATAGGAGGCCCCTGCTTTACGACAGTCCAATTTATGACTCCCTTTCCCCTCTCCACCAAACTTACATCCTTGGCTCCGCATCTATGAGGGTGTACGACACCTGTGATAAACGCAGGCTCAAGTTACGACACCCCCAACTTGCGATGCTATCCCTGGAACTGATTGTGTCACAAGTTGGGGGCAGCCTGTACTGGCCTTGACAACTTCTTTTCTGACTCTCTAGTCCTGATTCCATGTCCTGTTAACAAATGTAATTACAGAAAGATATTTCCTGTAAAGATAGGCAGCATTAATGAGACAAGGTAAAAATAAAATTCACTTTGTGATGGATATAGTCACATGGGTATGTCTATTTGTGTGTGGAGTTTTGTTTTTGTGTTCCCTTTATTTGTCCTTTGTTTCCTTTAATTTGGCCCTTTTCTGTATTTGCTATGATCCCTAATTTTGGTGTCCCACAAACATGACTTCTTGATTTAGTGCCTAAAGTGTAAACTATATTACATTTTTGAATTTACACCAGAGGAACATCCAAATATGTGAAGGAGTTGTAGGTTTGGTTTGGTTTTTCTCTTGTTCAAAAACTCCTCTGGAAGCCTGAATAAGTCCTGGTCTTTTGGTCCAGTCATATCTTGCTGTTGCTAGGGAGAAACTTTGATATGCTACCAGCACAGTTCTGATGTGAATTTACATGAAAAGTTGGCTTATGTTAATTTTTAATATTAAATTTAATATTGTTTAATGATAGTAAGTGACTTGCTGTTGTAACAAAGGAGTATATTTGTGTTGGAATTATATAGGTAAATACACAGGCTGCAGAGGTGCTATATAAATCCATTAGCGACTGGGCCCAGCTGAACAAAGATAGCACTGTACTTGACATCTGCTGTGGAACAGGAACAATTGGAATTTCACTGGCAAAGGTGAGCCATTTGCTTTAAATATAACTTTCAGCAAATCCTATTAAACTAATACAGGAAATCATAAAATGAAAGTTAAGTTGCAGGGGTCTTACACTGCATTTAACTGAGGAAAATGCTTAAATCAAGTTATTGCACTTTGATGTTGCCAGTGCTTTAGGAAGTTAACTTAATTTTGAACATCTGGCCAGGCTGCATAAATAAATATTTCCCAGCTAGTTATTGTACCTAACTGTTCTTAATTTCAATTATGGGAATTTTCAACTCTAAAAGTTAGAACTTCATAGCAGCTGGCACAACTTTCATTGTCAAAGTATGAATGTGGTTCATTTTAAAAAATGAATGTAAAGAGTACTTTATCTGGTATCTGCACATATTCAAAAACAGATCTACTTCAGTGACTTTTCTAGAGATTATTAAAAAAACTAATGCAGCTGTAACTGACACAGCTGGGATCTATTCCATTGTGCAGCAACATAACTATTTACCAAGTCCTAATCAGTTACATTGGTAGAAAGCCACTGACAAACAGCCATTTTTCCAAAAAACTTGCAGAGCATCCACACCTGAAGCACACTTTTGCACAAAAAATTGTAAGTACAGAGGGGTTTTTCTATGAGGAAGAACACCTTTTTGCAAAAGAGTTCTTTCACAAAAAAGTGTGGATAGGGAAGAGGATTTTTTGTGCAAAAAGAAGAAAAAGCACAGGTGCCCTGAGTGGCCATTCTGTGCATAGCAATCAGAGCTTACTTTCGAGGTCCATGCAGTCTGGATGTTCTTTCCCAAAGGTGCATCGCTTTTTCGATGTGCTTTTACAGTGTGGACATGCTCTTGCGCATGAAGATCTCTTCTGATAAAAACTTCTTACGCAAAAAGTCTGCAGTCAGTGTCTAATTTGAGTGTCATAATCAGGTGTCTAATTTGGTCTCCCCAATTACTTATTGGGGTAATTATGCACACAGTGGAAAGAATTCAGTATCACTTTAAGGCAGAATATGCAGGGCTAGCAGTGAAGGAGATACATATTTGAGCATGTCTGCCTATATGTGAGGATAGGAAAGGCAAAGCAAGTCCTTCCATCTATCCTTATCTATTGACCAGCCTGAGAGCTTGTCTAGAGCAGTGTTTCCCAATTTTATTTGGCCATGGAACCCTTTAAATTCAAAATAATTTTGTGGAACCCCTAATAGTCTAATATATGGAGTTTAAAAAGTAGACCGTAAGTAAGGATGAAAACAAACAAATGCTAAACAAGGTAATGAGATCAACATTTAGTTTAATTGCACATTTAAAAACAAAAATCAGAATTTTTTTTAATCCTAAAATGTTACTGTAATGGAATTTTCTCGCAGAACCCTTATTTTCACTTTGCAGAACCTTGGGGTTCTGCGGAACACCATTTGGGAAACACTGGTCTAGAGGAACAACTAATGCACTGCAAGCTGGTGTAAATCTACAGCATACCAGTACAGCAGGTCCTGACTCTAAGCCCTACTATTGTGTATTAAAAGTTCCTTAGTGTGCATTAATCTATTCTGCTCTGATATGAGTACATCATTACACAAAATTCAATTCTTAGTGCGCAGGAGCAATGTCCAGACAGCCTACACTGCATAGCATGCTGCTGCACTATACCCCAGCTTGCTGTGTGCTTATCTGGTCATCAAAACAAGCTCTAAAAATACCCTGCTAGTTTACTCACCATGTGCCTTTTTTATTTTATCTTCAACTGCTTTAAAGATGGGTTTTTTCTTTTGATCAGGTAAACTCAGAAAATAATGTTCTAAGGCCAGTGCTGTGGCAAGAATCCCTAATGCATGTTGACCATCATCCTCAGTTTTCCTCCAGTGTGGTATTTGTGGTGTCAAACCTGTATCCCATCCTGTTGGACTCACTGATCTTTTTTTCTTTGATTCCTCAGAAAGTGAAGAAAGTTGTTGGAATCGAACTCTGTCAAGAAGCTGTAGAGGATGCCAAAGTGAATGCCCAAATTAATGGTTGGTAAAGATAAGTGTATAAACACTAGGATCTTTGTCTATAAAGGAATGTAGGAGTTAAGCACCTGACATCTATTGAATTTGCCTGACTTATTTTCATCTGAAAATTCCAGCCTGGATTAATCATAGGTTGAATGTCTCTAGTCCAGCAACAGCTGTGGTCCGGCATGATTTTAGTTAGCAGGATGTTATCACGGGTCTGGCCAAGTTTCCCACAGTTCCGAAAAACTTGTTGATAGCCATCAGTCCTGGCTCTCTGTGTTCTATGCTATTAAGTTTTTTGTTTTGTTTTACTCCTAAATGTCTTCTAAGAGCCCAGTAAGCAGTGTTAGTGTTGGTAATGCTGGCTAGACAATGACCTCCCGGGATTGCTAAATTCTCTGGTTTGGCACTGCTCAGGTCCTAAAAGTGCTGAACAAGAGGTTCAACCTGTACTTCAAAGTTGTAATTATTTATTTCTAGCTGATATTTTCATTGTTAAAATCCACTTAAGTTGATTGTCTCTTTTTGAATACTAATATTGTATCTTTAAATCAACTGAATTCACCTAACTTTAATTTTTAAAATAACTTCAATATAATTTTCCTGTGTATACCTAATCAGCAAATTGCTCATCTGACAAGTGTTGAACGCTATGTATCATAGCATTCAGTGTTGGCATTTTAAAGAGGTAGAATTTATTTGCAAAGAATTTTAGTTAATGATTACAATAGAAATTCATCTGTATGGTGCCTTTTTTTCAGGTTATTTAAACAGTAGCTCGAATATTATACCCTAATGCCAATGCCTACAAATGTTAATCCATTGCGTGTCTCAAGACCTCGAATATTGGCATTTCTATATGCAAAACACTACAAAGAACAAGTTACCTAGTTACTCTAGCTACCTCTGATGTATGCACACTAATTTAAAAGATGCTCTGATTACAATGAAATTTCACAACTACCTTTCTCAGAATTGAACAACATTGAATTTCACTGTGGAAAGGCTGAAGACATTGTTCCATCTTTAATTAATGTATTAGCATCGCACAACCTGATTACAATTGTGGATCCACCTCGGGCAGGACTACGTAAGTTTATTTACTTGGGTCTTAGTTAACTGATATGTAGTGGATTATTTTTTTATTTTTTTTTTTATTTTTTTTTTAACAAATCAGCTAGCTGATTGTTGGAAGAAAACTTGTTATAGTCTAAGCGTGCCTCAAGAAAATCATGCTCAACTTTTAAAATTGTTTTTCTGCAACTAGTGACATGCACTATTAGCAGACAACTTTCTTAATTTGTCATTTAGATTCTAAAGTGATTCTTGCAATCCGAAGAGCTGAACACTTGAAGAAGCTCATCTATGTATCCTGCAATCCCAGAGCTGCCATGAACAACTTTGTGGAGTAAGTTTTTGTTTGTTTGGTTTTTTTAAATTGGCTAGGTAAAGCCAACAGACAAAATCACTTTCTGAAAAAAAGTGAAGTTAAATTCCCTATTTGCATGCAAACAGATTAAGCGTATTCGCTATCGCAGGCATTCTCAAACTTCATTGTCCTGTGAACCCCTTCTTCATAACCCAAGGAGGGGGACCAAAGCCAAAGAGCTTCAGGGTCAGCTTCAGCATCAGCACTTATTCAGGAATAATATGGCCCACAAGCTGGAGATCTGGTCTAGCAAACCTTCAGATCTAGCCTGCCACCATCCTATGGCCCAGCAAAAACCTTGGGCAGGCTCCCTGCTGACCATGCCCCTACACATCACTCAGAGCGGCCAGGTACCGGGGCTAGCATGTGTGTGTCTCTGTGCAGTACATGCCCCTTGGGGGAAGGAGGGCTTCGTGTGCTATCTCTTCCCCCCAGCACAATTTCACAGCTCTGGCCAAAGGGAGCTGCCTGGGCCAAACTTGCATCCCCCTCCTGCACCATGACCCTGGTCACAACTCTATCATAGACTTTGCATCCCCTTCTGGATCCTGCATCCCATCTCATGTTGTAGGTCACAATCAATGCTCCCTCTAAGCTGCACAGCAGCATAACTTCACAAGTGATTAATCAGCCCTGACCAATCAGAGGCTCAGGGCATGGAGCTGACTGACTGGGGGGAGGGTACAGATTGTGCTGCTTCACAAGTTAGAGGGAACTCTGGTCACAACCCTGTCCCTTTCATCCAAACGCCAAGTCCCCCTACCTCCTGCATCCCAATTTCCTATTCCAAGCTCCCTTCTGCACCCAACCTCTATCCCAGACCCTGCACCATCTCCCTTAATATAATAGAGGGTGGCCCTTGACCACTTCCAAATTCTTGGAGTGGCCCCCTATAAAAAAATTATTGCCCACCCCACTGTTTTAGAGTTAACACTGCCACTATGTCCTCAATCATCCTGGGTGATGGGACTCGGGCTCTAGATTTTCTAGTGACAAAGCTTATATTTGCCTTGATTATGCCATTAAAAAGGGGTCCTGATGAGATGTTAAATATTGGTTAATTGAATAGTCCATTAACTTCATGAATTCTTGCCAATTACTCCACTATTCTATAGTCCTCAGCAGTGAAGCTAGAAACCAGTGCACTCCAGCCCCACTCCTGAGGAGCCCCCTACCACTCCATGCTGCTGCCTGCCTTTGTATCAGAGCCAGCAGCGTGGGGTTCCAGGCAAGAGCTGGCCTGTAAGGGGAGCTAGTTTAAAAACCAGCTCCCCTTGCAGACTGACTGCCTGTCACCCCATGCTGCTGCCTTTGATGCAGAGGCAGCAGCATAGCGTGGCAGCAGCCCCTATCCAGGGGAGGGGTTGAGCTCCTGGACCTAGCATGAGTTAGAACTGAACTGGGCTGCCTGCCCGCCTGGCTCCTAACACTTAAATGTAGAACCACATCAGGGGGTAGGTCCTGGATCTGGCGTGAGTGAGGACTGAGCTGGGCTGCTGGCCAGCTTGCTAAAAGATTTACTGGCATGTAATGCTGGAATGCATGTAGTCTATAACATTAACCTATAAGCTTTTGCTTATTGGTTAATCAACTACACTATTACATCCCTAGAACTGACTCAGTTTAAGAACCACTGAGCTATAGGATCACATAATAGTAGTTGATCTTGCCTTGGGAGATGTGGGTGACAGTTTTCCTCCCTTGTACTGGGAGAACCTTAGCCTACAATAGCTGGTTTAGTAGTAGAGCCAAACTATATGATTATCCTATGAGGCAAGGAGAGTGAACAACAATGCAAAGGCTTTTCCTAGATGTAGACTAGTGTTCATGGTCCAGGAAAACTAATACTAACTTTTATTTTTCTCCTAAGTCTTTGTCGGGCCCCTTCCAATCGTGTCAGAGGAACCCCTTTCCGTCCAGTTAAAGCAATGGCTGTGGATCTGTTCCCTCAGACTATGCATTGTGAGCTGCTTATATTCTTTGAAAGGGTAGAACATTCAAATGGAAACTCGACTGAAGCAAGCCCTGACACATCTCAGGTTATGAATACAAATTCAGCAGATTCTACCCAGGATGGCAGTATTGACCCACCTGAAGAGAAAGTAGGAACTCTGTCTTCTACCTAATGTTGTGGTAGGCTGGACAGTTGGTGTGTATGCGTGCATATATTTTATACACTGTCAACCATCTTCACTGATTGATTTCCTTCTAAAAGTCAGAAGTTACTCTTGCTTGTTTAAAAAATGTTTGAGGCATCAGCAGTAACCGCATACTCAATCTCTGTAAAACATGCTAATTACCAGATTTACAAGTGCTGAAGGCTTTCAGTTAAGTAAAGTGACAGCAGCATTTTTCAACTCCATGAACAAAGATTAGCTTAACTGTTATACTTAAAGTTATTTTTCCTTGTAGGAACTGGATTATTTTATTACAGACTACTTGGACCAACACCTTCTGTTTTCACTCATGTACACTTCCACTGAAAGCAGTGGGATATCTTTCAGGAGTTTAGGTCAGTCATGCTGGTCTTATATTTTTGTGCGTTCATAAAATAGTGTTCATGTATGTTAGTAGGATTCAGCATGGATTCCCTCCAGATGTCAAGTGAGCGTAGGAGGTTTTATATGCCTAAAACTTTTGTTTGGAAAATTAATATAGAAGATGAGTGGTAAATCGCTACTAGTGAACACACTTTAATGCCCCTGGCAGATAGCAGTTCTGTTGAACAAGAGACTTTTGCATTGCACGCCAGTTTAAATAAATTCTGGGTTTTTTTTAAAAAAAGAAAGCCTGGATAATTTCTTATTGGGGAAGTTAGAATTGAAAAGAAGTACAAGTTTGCAGTTGCAAGTTTAAAAGGTACCATGGTTTATTTGCAATTAAAGCTATCTTTTTAGTCACTATTTAAAAAGGCTTTTCAACTACCCTAATTCTTTGCTAGGGAAGAGACATGAAGCTCAGTCTTTCAGAGAGCTAGTAATCTGACAGCTATGAAAATTCCATACTTCTAGTAGAAAATGGACCTCTGTGCTCTGATTTTTGGTAGAAATAACAGATTGCCCCTTCACTAGAAGGATACCCTTCCCTGACTAACTGTTTTGAGTTGCATCAATTTGGCCGATACTTGTTTATTGGATCTTAGACATCATGTTAACTGCTCAGGGAGAGTGAGATTTCTCTTGCTCTATAATAGGGATGGGAGGGGACTCTTTTCAGTCAGGGGCTGCTGCCTCACAGAGAAACAGTTGGACTGCACACAAGTGAGACACAAGCCCAAACTTCCTCACTGATGTGGCCCCTGAGGGAAGAGGAGAGACCGTCTCTCCTGCCCCACCCCTACCCTTGGTGAGAGCCTAGGCAGCCCCAGGCTAATAGATCTTGTGTGCTGCAGCCCCAGGGGGAGCTAGCAGGGCGTCTGGAGTGCCAGTGCTGAGGGGGATCCCTGAGCAAGCTGGAGGCCATATATAGCCACCCCTGTTCTCTATAACAAAGTGAAATTAGGACTGGAGGACTCAGTGCTGCTCCCACTGCAGTTTCAAAAACAAAGAATCAATGCAAGACAAATACTGTATGCAAGAAAATATGCTTTTCTGGAGATGTTGGAAGGTAAGTGTTACCTTTCACAGCTGATTAATTCATACTTGACTAAACCATATTGTGGACCTCACTGGTGTTATTTCTGTAGCACAGAGGTCAGAACTTTTTGGCCTAACCAAGGCTGGATTAAGGCATGGGCTAGCCAGGCAGTTGCCCGGTGTGCCAGCTTATGGGGGGTGCCTGATGGCAGCTATAAGGTGCTGCATGCCTGGCTCCTGGATCGCAGGCTGCTGCAGCAGCTCCCAGTGGCCCCCTGCAGCAGCTGCCCAGGGTGGGGGCTGCATTAATCCCCACAGCGCTGGCCAGCAGCGCTCTTTCTCCCCCCCTCCCCCCTGCCCCCCAACAGCCATGGCCAGGTTCGGTCCGCTCCAGGCTGTGCAGTCGGGCACGTGCATCCTGCCGCTGCCAGCTCTGCATGCCCTCCCACACGTGCAAGGTGGGGGTGGGGCTGTGCCAGGCAGGGCTGTACCTGTGCCCTCCCCCATGTGCTGGTGCGGGGGTGGTGCTGTATATGTGCCCTCCCCCAACCCGGGGTGCAACTAACCTGTCTGCGCAGGGTGCCGGAATGGCTCTGTTAGGCCCTGGGCCTAACCACCACATTTGGGTAAAGAAATTCTATGGTGGGCTTGGGGAACAGTGTAGGCTTTAGTCAGGTGCCTCCTAGTCAGTGTGGCAGTGGGGATAAAGCAGGTTCCTGCAGTCCTGGCTATGTACAACTCCTGGGTAGGAAATTCCACAGGTGGACTTTGCTTGCAGCCACTTTCTGCAGGTTCCTTTGGTCACAATACCCTCCTCCTGGCTAATGGGAGCTGTAGGCTCAGCACCGGGCAGTGCACAAAGCCTCTTACTTTACACACCCCCTAGCCCTACAAGTGGTGTGGGCCTCCAGGTAGGCCACAAGACTGCTTTGGACTGGTAATCCTGAAAGATGCATATAAAAGCATTGATGGTCCAGATATGGCTTACAGTTTTCCCTTCCCTGCTTTTGCCTCTTCAGCCAAGAGTATTGTAGTGTGCATTTTCTTAGATGTACTTAAAGCCACATGAGGGAATTCTGTGCCATTGCACAATGCAGACAGAATTCCATTTTTTTCTGCCGAATTGGTGTTGCAAAACTGCTGGCTGCCACTAGGGGCAGCAATTGACAGTCCAGCTGCTCAGCTCACAATGAGGGATGTGGGCAGGCTGTGCTTTTTTTTGGGGGGGGGGTCTGGCCCTGGTTAGTCATGTGGTATAGCTAGCCCCCTTGTATGGCAGCTTCTCAAGTCAATAAGCTGCTCCCTTACTTCTGCCCTTCTGTAACACCCAGTGCATGATGGGATTGCTGTTTTTGAGGAAGATTGAGGAGGATCTTTTAAATGGTGGGGCCCTTTCCTGCAGTAGCTGTAGGTCATTTCTGCTTGGCAAGAAATAACTAAGCTATGAAAAACGTGGGGCTGGGCAGGGGCAAGAGTGCAGGTTTCTGGGCCACCAGCCCTCTCCAGCATCCCTAACTGCCCTCTCCCAGGACCCACAGCCCTTCAGTTCTTCCTCTGTCTGGTATTATCCTTTATTTGGAAACTTGAACTATAGTAACTCTAGAAGGGCAAGGTGGGGGAAAAAATGTGAGGGAGTGGGTATTTTTCCTCCTAAGATATACTGGCACATGTGATGCACCTCCACTAAGGCACCAGACAAAAAGCATAACAGGAAGTGGCTTGTGAAAGAAGGTTTCTTAAACACTCTGCACCCAGGGGCATCTTGTTAGACATACTTAAACAAGTATTAAAACGGGTATGATTATATGGTATTATCTTGACACATGCACAATTGTTTTGGTTCAGCACTTTCTAAGATTAAAAACTCCTGAAGAAGAACAAGCCTGGTTACCTAACAAAATTAATGTTACCTTTCAAAACTCACTGCAGCTCAAGGTACATTAGGTAAATTCCTACAGCCTAAAGCAGTGGTCACCAACCGGTAGACCCTGGAGCCTCTGAGTGGTGAGCCTGACTTGTTTGGCCAAGAGCTTATCAAGCACTGGCTCTTCAGCTGCCCCTCCCCTGACTGCTGCACATCTCCTGCCCTCTGCCTTAGAGCTGTCCCCTCAGGAGTCTCTGACTTTGTGGGCAGGGCAGAGAGGGGTGAGGGGTGCTCATGCCAAGGTGCCCCCTCTCCCACGCTGTATCCTTTCACTACAAAGCAGCTAGGGCACACCAGGACTTAGGATGGAGCTTGCTGGCTACTTTAGGAAGTGGGTCAGGGCAAGGGTGAGCCTGTCTTAGCCCCCTGCACCACCAACCAGGGACCACCTGAGGTAAGCAGAGCCCAGCTGGAGCCCCCATCTTGAACTCCTACCATAGTTATAAACCCCCTCCTATACCCCAGCCCTGAGCACCCATATGTCCATACACCCTCCCAGAGCCTGCACTTAGCATCTCCTCCAACACCCAAACTGCTTGCCCTAGGCTCGGCTCAGCACCCGTCTTGCACTCTAGATCCCTTAATCCAAGATCAGAGCCTGTGCCCAGTGCCTGGTGGGAGGGAGGATGGAGTGGGCAGGGTGTGGGGCCTCAGAACGGGCATGAACGAGGCAGAGCAAAGGTTTTTGGATCTGAAGTAGATTCTGGATTGTACTTAAATCCAAAAAGTGATCTCATGCTTACAAAGGCTGGAGACCACTGAACTAAAGGGACCAGGATTTCACTGCTGCCCTGTTGAAATAAATGCACTGTCAGAATGAATGTGCTATCTGTCTCTTCCCACAGGGCCTTAAGTTGGTTGACTGGGGGACTTAAGGCAGTACCCTTGTTTGTGTACAAAGGCAGTACCCCCAGTTGTGTACAAAGAGCTAGTGTTTGACTAGATTTCCCCCAAATAAAGCTAAACTTCAGTGAGCTGGTGAACAACATTAAATATCAAATACAACTCCTCCTCTATGAATTGAACAAGCCATTCAAAGCACATCAACAGAGAGAGTTACTTCAAGTCAGCTCTAGAATGTAAGAAATGGAAACAAATCAAATTTTGGTAACAACAGAAATGAAGTCATCAACTTCTGAAGTAATTCTCAAAGAAATGTAATAAAGGATATTTATTCCAAAACATACATTTAAAAAAAGTATGTCCAGCTGTGAGTCCATTTGTTCAAGAACTCCTCTTAAACAATAACAGCTTAGAACCACCAAATGTTGTATGCAGCTTTCTCTTATAACTTAAAGCAAGGTATGGGTTTTGTTGTGCCAAGGGTAGCAAGATGGGTGTGGAATCCATTTTATGAAAAACAATGGAAAAAGGAGGGGATAGGCAGGAGGGAGTAATACTGCGGAATGACCATGCAGGACAGCAAGGCCCCAGAGATGGGGATCAGGACAGCTATAGCCCTATTGGGTCATCAGAGGACAGGGGCAGCTAGCCGTGTGTGTGTGTGTCCATTTGCATGTCTCCCATCTGAGGGAGGGAGAGAGATAGACACACACCTCTTCCCCAGCCTAACCAGGGCTGGATTAAGGCATGGGCTAGCCAGGCAGTTGCCAGGTGTGCCAGCTTATGGGGGGTGCCACAGGACTCGTCACTTTTGCAGATCCAGACTAACATGGCTACCTCTCTGATACATGAATGTTAATGGCTTTCAGGCATATGAATGAAGACTAGACCCCAATATGCCATATGTTTTGTTATTTTCTATGTGAGCTGTAGCAGTTTAGTAGTGTCATTTTGGGACTTTCTCTAAATTGCTTTGAATTTATTGTTGTAGTGGTAGCATTAATAATATGTTAAAAGGGGGGCAATTTTGACTTCTCTTATAGATTGACATATATGCTCCAATACATCTGTTAGTCTATAAGGTGCCACAGGAGTCCTTGTTGCTTGTCCACAGTGAATGGATGCTATCTCGCATTTAAGCTGTGATTACTATGGACTACCAGGGCACCTGTGCTTTTTCATCTTCTTTCAAAACTTTCCTGTCCACACATGCCTTTTGCCAAGAAAGCTCTTTCAGAAAAAGGCTTCTCCCTCGTAGAAAGAGGATTACCAACCTCTGAAAAAGTCCCTCTGTTCTTTCAATTTACTTTCGGAAGAACATGATTGCAGTGTGGACGTAACTTAGGTTTTGTTGGCAAAATGGCAATTTTTTCCAACAAAATTCTGTAGCAGAGACATACCCTTATAATTCTTTGAGGGGGTCAACAAGAATGTGGACAAGG